GGGTGGGGGGGGGTGGGAGTTTTATTCCAAAGAAAGTGAGAGGCTGGTATCACAGATGGTGAATATTTGCTTAAAAGCCCAGGACCTTCCCAACATGAACAGGATTATGAGTGTTTTGTTGTTTTGGTTTCTTGTTTTTTTTTTAATTGTATATGATGTGGCTGCACTGAAGACACCTTTTCCCCCTGCTTGTTAAACAACTTTTCAGAGATCACTATGATTATTAAATCCAGATGGAGAACCTCTGAAGGGTATCTGAGAAGGATTACATTAGAGATGGGAAAAACTATCTTTCATTATCGATTATCTGGACTATGGTTCCATTTTCAAAAAACAAGCAAAAGATGGCAAACATGATACTTGACATGTATTGCATTCCTTTGTTTCAAAGCTCACTTGAACTCAGTTTTCATAGAGAAGCTTGATTTTTGAACAACCAGCACTACGCTGTCAGTGAGAAAGCCAGACACTATCCTTACTTGTATGCACATCAGTGCATGTAAGCAACAGTTCTGGTGCTTAAACAATGCCCATAACTATCTTATCACGCCCAGTTTTGCCTGTTATGCATAAAAATGCACTTGCATTTTGAACTGGTGTACCATATCATATTCACCATACACCAGAATTGGTTTTTTTTTCAGGAGGCCAAATCCTGGAGACATAAGCTTTTACAGGAGTCTTGAAGGAGCCCTAGAAACGTATCTTCAAGAGCAGCAATTACTTTGCTGCAGACCGCAGTTTTGTCGTGTCCAGTACTATGCATGTGACATACCACAGAGAACATCCTCACCTGAATACTCAGTACTGGAGACTGCTGTTACCCAGGTGCAATAATTCATTTATCCAGTCTCCGATGACTGAGTGACATGTCTGATTGTCCTCAAACCAAACTTTATTTAAATAATTCAGGTTTATAGTCATCTATCCCCTTAGACTCTGCAGTCACATCAACATGCGTTCATACTCGTTCCTAGGAACTTATATGGCTGAAAATAAAAACTTCTCAAATTTCAAAAGGCTGGTATTACACATGGCCAAGAGCACTTCGCATCCTCTGACAAGGCAGTTTTGTCTCTGAAGTAATTTCTGACAAAGGAGGGACAAACATGTAGCTAATTAATTTCCTGTAATGCAATACCATCAAATTGATTAGAATCTACATTCGATTTCTGTGGGTTTTTTTTTTTTTTCTGAATATACATACCAAGCCACTGTTACCAGAAATTCAAGCAACCAGTATCTAACACTGAGTATAAAAATTACTGAAAAATTTAAATCTAAAAATACTAGTCATATCTACTAGAATAGTGGAATGTGTATCAACATGCAAATTTCATATAATTTTATTTTCCAACATTCCTTGACTTGACAAGGTTAAAAATTATGTTAAAGATGTAAAGTTTCCTAGATTTTTGAACTGAACTAAAACCAGCTTTAGCATGTTTCAGGAGTCGGAAAATGAAGAAATGCTACTTTTATCTCTTAAGGGAGTCTTGCCAATTTACTTTTAAGTTGTTCACTGCTGAAATATTCAAAGCTGAAAGACAGAAGTCTTGAACTGATGAAGGGATGGTGATGAAATGCTTACTTAAGCTAACCAAATTGCAACATCCTGGAAAAGACATGCATCCTCCCACTCTGTCAGGTCGTGCTAAATTTTTCAGCTATCCTGCAGTAGAAAGTTATAATATAGCTTCAATATAGTATATATAGTATATACATATATTTGCCAATTTAATTGAACATATAGATTAATTGAATCTATATCAAAGATGCAATTAAAAAATTCTGCACATATTTTTGCAAGAAGCCTTGTTCAGATGCAACTTACATGTTCTGCTAGTAGGAAAAGGATAAACCAGGGATATTGGTTTCCTTTATGCAGTTCTGCTGTGCCTAGGACAGACTGTTTCAAATGATGTGTAGCCAAATGGTTCCAGACTATGGAATTTTTCTACCCTACTGCCAACTTTGTGCAAGCAAACTTTGCTTTGAAGTTCTGCAGACAGAATATTTCATTTATTCCCCAGCCTCATTTTCTCCTGCACATATGCAAGTCATTTTCAACACAATATTAAAGCTGCAATCACTGGGGCGGGAGGAAGAAAAAGAGAGAAGAAAAGAAAAGGAAAAAGCCCCCAAACTTATCAAAACTCATGCTTCAGGGCATAAATTGATTTTGTCAAAGAACCTAAAAGTGAGCTTCACCATAACCCTAATCTAATACACACAAACTCCACAAAAGAATACATCATATTTAAGTTTTTTTAAGCTCTCATTTGGCCATTTCATTCATCAAGCTTAGTGAGAGTCAGAGCTGTATCTCCCAAAGGCAATTTAGGCGTCTAGATTATTTAGCAGAATGACAGCATTACTTTTTCCCCCCCGAGAGCAAGCTATCCGGAGATTAGCTGACTTGCAATGATATATCACGTCTGCAATCTTTTTTAATAATATGTAAAGCTACCAAAGAAGGTTTTTTCCTCTAAAGCTACAGAATAGATTTAGTTCTGTTGCAGAAATTCTACTTTGACATTGTCTGGGAAATGAAGAATACTTGACACATCAATCCACGTTCCTCCACAAAATTCTATGGATCACATCCAGTTTTTGAGCAAGCCTGCCCATAAAACAAAGATGTTAGGAACTTTTTCACAATGACTCAGAAGCATTAGTTTCATTAGTAGCCTATTTCCTCCTCTGAATGCATCGCATGTGGTTCCCTGCTGCAACTCTCCATGCTTTGATAGCCCTGTACAATGCTGCTTGAACTCCATGCCACAAGGCAACACTGTAAAGAAGCTGAAAGCAAAGAGAACACTGAAAGAGAATCATCCTGAGTGAAAGAGTCAAATTGCCAAAAAAAAATGTCTGTAGCCACTTTTCATGACGAAGCGAGGTTATCAGTGGCATTTGATAGGGGCATACACTGAGACTTGTGCTGTTCCACATACTTTGAAAGTGCTCTAGAAAGTGATATTGGCAAGAAACATAACATTTATTGGCATACAAAGTTATTCAGGAGAGTCAGAATAAAAAATGAACAGCATAGCAATGCTGAAGAGACTTACACCCAGTGACTGAAGAACAAAATGGCAGATGAAGTTTAAATTAAAAAAGTGAAGTGACACAAATGGAAGGGGGAAGAGACAGAGAGACTTCAGTATTCGGACACCATGATAGCCTCCAAATTAGCCACCACCACACAAGAAAGACTGTGGAGTGACTATGGATGGTTTCTGAAAAAATAGGAGATCTATGCTCACAAAAATAAAATATTAAGAACTGTTAGCAAAGGAACTTGGAACACAAAATTTATCAATATGCCATCACATGAATTCATTGTGCAACCACACTCTGAATACTGCATGAAGATCTGATCATTTGATCTCAAAATTAGAACCATAAAAAGATAAAAAAGACAAAATGAAACAGTGGAAAAGAGACACAGAGTGTCTTCCGTAGGAAAGGAGACGAAGTATTAGGACTTTATGTCTTGGAAAAACCAAGAGGGAGATGTGGTAAAGGTTTATTAAAAAAAAACAAACAAACAACAAAAACAAAACCCACCAAAAGCACTAGTGATGAATTATTTGCTATTTCTCATAAAGGAAAAAGCTAGATAGGACCCAATAAAGTAATCAGATGGCAGTTTTGGTTTTGTTGGGGTTTTTTTGGGGGTACGGTGTGTTGTTGATTAAAAAATAAAAAAGAAGCACTTTCTTCTAACCACAGAATGCTGTGGAGCTAAAAACATCAATGTATTAAAAAAAGAGATTAGATAAATTCATTGAGCGCAGACAATAGAGATTAGTTATCACGTAATAGTAAAGGATGCAATTTGCAGCTCAAAACAAGCGTCTAAACATTTGGGGTTTTGGGGGGTTTTTTTGGTTGGTTTGTTTGTTGTTTTTTTTTTTTTTTTTTTTTTTTAAACTCCTGGAAGCTGGAAAGGTGTATGAATGGAACAATCCATCCATAGTTATCATGCCTAAAGAAAAGGATGTAACAAGCATCTGATAGGAGTTTGAGGCAGGATAATTAACTATATTTTTCTTCTCTCTGACCCAATACAATGGATCTTATATCTATCAAAACATTTAACAAAAAACACAGTTTAAACCCATCATGCTATGGAAACAAGGCAGGCAAAATACTATTTAAAAAAAAAAATCTGTCATGGTATAGTAAGATCTGTTAATAATGACAAGGTAATTGAGAGTATTAATTTGGATTACAAAGGCGTTAATTATCTATGTATAACAGCTTGAGAGCAACTGAACAGCTCTAGGCATCAATGGTTCACGAGACCTTTACAGCCAATTTTTCTCCCCTCTTCCCTACTTTTGAAGCGCAAAGTACCTTACACTTTGCATCAAAGCATACACATAATACAAATCACAACAGTTAGGACTCAACATTAAATATATGCATATTTACCAAGGCCAGTTACACACCTACTATACCAGCAATTTGCATTTTTGTATTCTGATAATCTTACTATGTTGTTTCTAAAGGTTTTAACCTTATAGTAAATATGCTATCTTACCTCATTCAATGCACACATGCGAGCAATAGAACCTATGTTGTTGGTGATGGTGACCAAAGTAGCTCTGGCCAAGTCCTCTTTACTGATGGAATCTCTCTTTTCTTTACTCATCATATGACCAAAGCTGTGTGAGGAAGATTACTCCTTTTAATAAGAGTTATTTAGGAGTGCTAAAAGCCTTTAGAAATTTTATCATTTAATAAGCTTGGATTTGATATCCATCAATTTGAGACAGATTTGAACATGAGAAAAGGGATCTCATTGGAAAGGCAGAACAATGAGCGAAGACACTTTTTCTAAAATAACTATAATTTAAATGGAAGCAAACTACATCAAGCATTGCTTGTACCTGTTTAAAAAAAAAAGAGTAAGAAGTAGGTGAAAGATCTAAGGACAAACCACATGATACATTCAGAGTGACATTTCCACATGGACGTAGTGCATAGTCCAGGGATTACGCACTCAGTTCAGCATACGCAGTAAGTTTCCCAAGGAACTCCTTAAAAACAGCTCAGTTAACACGTACCTTGAGGCTACAGCAGACCCCTGAAGGCCAAACCGCTCATAGTCTCCTCCATAAATATCTTTCACCAGCTTATCCACATTGGTGCTGTCTCCTTTTGCGGCCATTTCTAGTGCTTCTTCAAACGTCTCACAGCCAGTCAGCAGACAGCACAGGCCCAAGAACGTTCCTCCTCCAAGACTAGAAAAGCACAGTTCCTTCAGACCAGCAGCTTGAGCCAGCTTTTATCACAGCTCTTCAGACTCCCGTTTTCAACACAGTCTACACAGCTACCAACTATATCTTGCAACCCCTCCCTCAGAGAAGCAAAGGCAGACACCCTAAATTGAGTTTCTATTTAACACAAATGTCATCCAGCATAGTTTTAACTGAACCACTCTTAAGTCTTTATTATTTAAAAAAGAGAAATGATGCTAAATAAAGGGTTAGTTCAGAATAAGGTCCAATCCAACACCACAGATGTCAGTCTGCTATTTGTAGCACTCTAGCAAATTCTCCTTGTGCAAGAATAATTAGTCCGCAGATCACTTAAGTCAGTGATGAAAGAATAAACAGTGATCAAAGCTAAATATCTATGCAGGGCAGGCAGCCAAGACAGATCTTGTCCCCCTATCCAGTGGCAGGAAGCAGTCTGGTTGGTTCCTGTTCAAAACAAGGCTAGCATCAGCCCTGAATGTCTCAGCCCTCCAAAGAACTCTGAGCAAGGAGCAGCCACTTTACTATCTTGCATGGGCTCAAGTACAGTATTTACTGACTATAAATTTAGCAGGGAGTATTTGACTGTGCCTAACAGGTTGCTAACTCATTTCATTAAAATTCTACTTTGGACTCTTCACTCTTAACAGACATGAACTTCAACTTACTAACCTCTACATCCTTCCTCATTCTTTCTTAACCCTTGAGAAAGTTAGCTTATTTGCACTGATTGCAGTCACACTGATCGGAGCCACTGTAAACAAGAGGATCAGTGAGACACCACACTTGCACTGCACAAAAAAGCACAGGAGGTCAGATAGGAACACCATTCAGTCAGTGCTCTTGAATTATTAGGCAAGTTTTTCAGAACACACCTAGTAGCACTGTAATATATTCAGTATCTGAACAGTAGGAAGCTCTGCACACCATCCACAAGACAGTATTGATTTCATCATCTATGACAAGTCAGCAACCCACTGCAGTCATGTTTTTCCTTTCATAGTGGAAACGATCAGAAGCATATCTACAGATATCAAAAGGGCTATGCTTGAAAAACAACCAGAATTGCAAGAAAACCAATACCTCTTTCATTCAACTTGCATTCATCTGTATTGTATACAGAAAAATGGCTCATGGCTACCATCGTGGCAAAGATATGCCCTAGATAAGGCAACAGAAGACATATATGCAGTATACAGGAGAAACTTTATTAATATGTACCATGCACTGAAGAACAGAATGCAGCTTTGAAAGGACTATAGCAAATCCAAAAAGCTTCTTTGGTTGTTGTTTTAGAAGGGGATTTTTTTAGGTTTCTGTTTTGGTGGTTTGGTTGTTTGTTTTTGTTTTTAAGATTACAAGATTACTAAAAATGAAGTATATCAATTTAGTTTAAATGTATGAGGAAGAAGTGGGATAGATTTATTTGTATTTTTACTAGTAGTCTGGATGGACACATTTGTAACTAAAGTGGTCTCCTATAAGTAAGCACTGTTGCCACATCTATAAAGTAAGCTTAAACAAGCCTCAGGCTGTTTTTTGGCCTTGAGAACAAAATTCTGCATTCACATTACTGAACTCCTGAATTCCTAAACAGAGTAGTCAGATTTAAATCTCTTACTGAACATAGACCAGAAACCATTTCAACTCAGCTGTACCCTAGAAATCATTTCAGTGAGCACTAGCTGACCCAGGCTGAAATCATGCGGAGGACAAAGTATGAATACAGACAATCAGATTCTAGTCTTTACATGCTGGCATTCCTTAATTTCCCAGCATGGTCCAAAGACTAGTACAATCAGTAAGGAAACAAAAGATCTAGTGAAATTCCTCTGCCAAAATCCAGTAGTAGCAGGTAATTCTACAAAGTTTTCCTATATCCTGGATACATTCTAACTACTAAGAGGAGGTTTGTGTTGAGCCCAAACATTTTTATTTCACTGCTCTGGCTGTTGTGGTGGATCAAAGTAGGGAAAAGAAGATTCATTTACTGGGACAGCTTTATGTTGGTGATTCACAGCAAGAGGCAGGAAGTAGGTAAGAACACCAAGAAGAGACTAAGGCAGCTCTAAAGTTGAATGGATCAATGATTTCCCTGATGTACACCCCCCTCTCTGAAGGAATCCTAGGATATTTCCAGCCTTGCTACTGGTGGGCTTTTAAAAGAAATAGGAAGACAAGCACAATTTGGGTCTGCACCTACTAGTCACACTGTCTGGTTCTAGCTGTTCAATTATGAAGGAGAAAAGAAAATAGAATTAAAAGAACATAGAATTAAATTCACCTGGATCCTGTGACTCTCTTATAGTTGTCCTTAGAATACACAGCTAGGATGCTGACCCCTGAGCCTATGTTAACCAGCAGCATAGGATATGGATTATCAAGGCAATAAGGCTTTTTCTGGCACTGTTCAGGATCTGTAGGATTTTCAAAATAATAGCACTCTGGTTGGCCATTGAAACCAACAGAATCAACATAAAGGAGGCCCTGGATCAAACAGTCCAATTCATCCAGTTTATGGAGTTGTAGATCAGCAATCTGGAAAAGAACAACAAGAAATTAATAAACAAACATTTCCTAGAGTAATACAACACTGAGAAGGACAAAAGGCTCCACTGAAGCACTCTGATCACTTTAATAGTAACACATTATGCTATTTAAACAGTACAAAGATCTGTCTAAGCATGAAGTCCGAAATAAAAGGAGTTTGTTATCTGCCTGACAACAGGTACCTCCCAAAACAATGATGTGCTGCGCAGTAATGTCGTTTAGTTCCTTTGCCTTTGAGATATTCCCTGCTCTGCAAGCAGAAAACATTTCCCCCCCTTCAGTATTCTGAAGCAATAAATTTCTTTCCTCTCATCCCCATCCCAAGAGGAGCTGCGTTTTGCAGCTTTTGGACAGTATCTGACACATGCCTGCACAACAGCATTCCTCAGGATGCAAAGTGCTTTAACTCATCATCCAACTACATTTCCCAGCAATTTAATGAAATATCCAATAGAAGCATCAAGATCAAGAAACTTCAGTTAAAGAACAAGATAGTTAAAGCCTTACAAAGTGCACATGCTTATGTTAATATGCATTAAATATGCAGTGGATTATGCTTAAAAGATTTGCGGTTTTTTTAGTATTAGCTATTTCTTTAAATTATGATGAGCACTTTAAAATGCCTTACGAAAAATAGGGTATGCCCAATGTTTGGTGAAAAACAATATAAAAAAACCCCAACAAAAATATTGTCAGGCCTATGCCCCCAGCAAAATGTTCATAAAAACATAACTGTAACAGACGGCAGAAAAACAATTATAAGAGCTTAAAAAGGACATTCCTTCTGAGATCTCACAGGTCACCCATGACTGTACTTAAACAGACATGTCTACTTGCCATAGCATTCTGTTTACTAGAATTAGAAATCACATCCCTTTCTCGAAATAGGATACAGTGACAATCTGTAGAAAGTCTCCCTTCCAGATGACATTGAGTTTAGACTTGTGTTAGGGAGAGGAGAGGGAGAAAAAATAGTAAAGCTGCCTGTCCAAACCCTGAGGTCATTTGCATCCTCACACCTGCAAAGTAGGTCTTACTTAACTCCACTTTCTAGCAGAAAAAGCAACAGGGTATTAGGAACAAAAGGGAGTTATATAGCACAGAGCTGGTTCTTGAACATTTGCGTATTGCAGGATGTTTTTATAGCAGCTAATGGAGAAGATTACCTCCACTCACTACCTCCTATTTTTAATTCTGCAAGATTTATTAAGCCACTATAAAGAGGAAAGATATTTCTGTGGAACAGGCATGGCCAATAGGTTACATTCTTTTGAGCTATTTAAATCTCTCCCCTTAAGTTTTTTCTCTACTTGTACATAGCTCTAACTTGCCTTAACTGAAAGCTAAGACTCTTTGCATCTGCCCTTTTGTTATACTTGTTAGTCCTCAAATCCTGGAACCATAGAAAAGAAGTAAGACCAAAAAAACCCCAAACTAGCAGTCTCAAAGACCTCAGTATAGATCCAGTTACTCATAGGACAATAGAGACAGGTGGAGATCATTTCTTCTTGTTTCAGTATTTCCTCCTGTAACTTTTGCAACCCCTTCATATTTTTTTCTTGGTTACCACATGGCTACACAAATTACAATTACAGAAATGCAGCAAAAAAGACTGGAACCATTTGGCCAACAAACAAAAAGAATAAACACAAATCAGGAGAAAAGGTTTTTAAAGAAATGTTACAAAAATCTTAAGGCTGCTTTGCAAACATCTTGGATTTCAGCAATTTCTTGCTATTAGACTGGAAGGAAAAGCTCCAATCAAGAGAGATGCAATACAAGGCACTAACACAATAAATGCTTCATGCACTCTTTCTCACAATGGACATTGTATGGAGCCCACTAAATCATCATCATTAGAGGATTTATTTATTTTGTTAAAACCCAGCTAACATTGCACATAGCTAGTCAAAATAAGGAAAGATTCTATACTAACCATGATCTTTCTCTAGGTTATGTGCTGTACCATCTCAATTTCCTCATCTTACTGTATACACTAGATGCAGCATGACCAAAAACGGTCTAACACAGGTACAGCATGCACAAACATCCTATGAACTAGAAGCCTGCTACACAAAGACAAGTCATTAGCAGATTTATGGCCCCTACTGTCAGAACCTCTCTTCTCCCGTAAGCCAAATACCCAGCCACAAGCTGCTTTTGTCTCATCCATGTTATGCTTTCATAAACAGGTAAACATCCGTGAGAGACCTTGCAAGACACGAGCAAGCAATACAAATCTAAGAGTAAAACACTTCTGGTATCAGTGCAAAGACACAGACAAAATCCTTGTTTCTACAAACTCTCCAGTCAGCCCGCTAATTTTGTAAAGACAGAACAAAAGAAACTAATCAAAGGTTCTTTTTCAAGCACCAAGCATAGAAGTTCTATTAGGTCCAGCCCTCCACATATAAAAGACATACTAGAATTTGCTCTGCTTTTTATAGCTCTGTGCTATATTTAAGAGCTGATATACTGTAAGCAGAAAAGCTCTATTACTGCTTTCTTTCATGTAAGATATCCATAGCAGACTGAAAAACTATTTTCCTGCATTGTTGCAGCAGTCTGGTTTTCATTTTTGGAAGGAGCAAGACTGTCATCAATACTCCACGTCAATCCGCCTTCATTCAGAGAACTGTGAGCTCTGCAGCCACCAGATCTCTGAGGTTCCAAACAGCCCAGTGAGCCACCACTGTTCTTGTTTCTAAACACAAATCAGGGCACAGTTGCAAGAAATGTAGTAACCCAGTCTTATATAAGAAGCCATGATAAAGCCAGGGTCACAATTCCCAGTCCCTTTCCCTGCATATAGAACTGCCTTTTCTCTACTCGTTTCTTTGCTCACAATGACTCAAGCAGCAAAACCGCATCACAAAATAGATGTGCGTGTAAACATCGTAACCTACCACACTCTACTTGTCCTCATCTTTCAGCTGTTCAAACCACTTCTCCTTGCAGGAACTGAAGTTCACATGCAAAAATGCAAAACAAAAACGGGAGCTGTGTGTAGAAGCACATTTTAACTGGATGTTTTTCCTACAGCTTTTTACCAAATGCATTTGCAGGTATTTTCCAGCCCTTTACAATCCCTAATGTGAGGGCAGACAGCATAACGGTCAACTTATCCTGCTCTGCGCTCCAGTGCAGCACAGTGCCTCTCTAGAAAAGTTTTATGTCAGAAAGTTGTGCTATGAGAGGAAGAACTGCAGAACAAAGTAGGATACAGGACACTGAAGGGAAAATTTGATGGTTACAGGGAAACCATACATATATTTTTTAAAAGAACAATTTTTTTGCATTACAGCCAGACTGTATAAATTCCTCTTTATTTTAGGAGAGAGGAGGGAACAAAACACTTTGGACCTCAAGGAACTCTTCAGGACCATCAAAAGGAGGGACTTGGGACTTTAACCGTGATTACAAGGGGATGCAACACAGCAAGGAAGTACTGCACATGACAGTTCACACCTTAGCAACGAACTCCTGAAACCCAGCCGATTTCAAGGATACACAAAAGGTATGTTGTTACTGTGTACAGATGCTATTCTAAGGAGAATGAAAGCCCACCCTCTTGTTGTACACTTGCAAGAAGTCTGTTCAAGTTTAGGGCTTTTTTTTTTTTTTTTTAAATAATATGTATAATGTCAAACAATTTTTAGCTGTATTCAAGTACCAGACAGTATAAAAGGAAAAAAACGTGGTACCAACTTGCTGCTGCTTTGAAGTATGAAAGCACAGAAGTCAAAAGACTGGGGTCATGTTTGTTTCTGTACGGGTGAGTAAGTATTTCCACCTCAGCAAGGAAAACATGAAACAGCCCAGTCCTTTAGAAATCAGCTGAGGGCAGCCATGACATATTATACAGCAGAGCTGAAGCCTAATGGATCAACATTGGTGTGCAGACATCTTTTCAGTGAAGCTCCAGCCCATGAAAGATTTCACCCAGTTTGAATTTTCACACTATTACCAAGTTCTGGCAAGCGCAGGAATGTCCAAACCTAGATGCAGTTGAGTTCATCTGTTTTTTGGACTTTCAATCAGAAATACCATTTTTTTTCTGTAAGAAACTGTTAGGAACATAACGTCTTGCAAGTTTTTAATTATCAATTACAACAGCCTCATTTACTATATCACTCTGGCTTTTATATGTCTTCTGGGCATTGCTCCAGTTTTTATTTCTTATAATAGCTTACAGTCCAGCTTTTCCTTGCATCTCCCTCCTATTACCTCTCCTCCACTTTCATAAAGACGTACTTTGCTTCCTTTATATTTTGATTGTCTTCACCTCAACCCCCACCCCTGCTTCTTTCTAAGCTCAGATGAGGTACTCCCCCCAGCTCGTTCCACTCCCCGGGGCTGGGAAATATCCACTCACATTAAAAACAAGACAAAGTCTAATGCAAATAAAGGGTAAGCCCAACATTCGCTGAAGTAGAAGAGAAGACAGACTCTGCACCAGCTTTGACAAAAAAAGCACTAGTCTGGGATCCTCTGCAGCGGATCCACCCTCTCGCCCAGCTAGCTGCAAGGATCTCTTCCCTCTCTTGACAGGGAAAAGATGCACATTGCTTCCCCCCATTCCCTCTGAAAAGTTTCCTAGCTTCTTGCGGCAGTGGTAACAGAAGGTATCGTGGTTACTTCACCCGTTCTCTGGATGCCACTTTCAACTCCAGCCCAGTCTACACACTACAGGCCAGCACCTACAGCCTGAGCAGCAGTGTCCAGACTCCTCAAGCAAGTGAAGTGCAACAAGATTTTTTGAGTGTCTTACACTAACCTGGAGTTACACAGCTTACTCATCCTACAACACAGGACAGTGAGTTTATTTGTTTTAAGATAAATACAGTCTACAAGTCATCCACAAGCTTTCGGTTCATACCACAAAGTCAAGCGTTAGAATCAGCTAATAACTGGCACAAGGAAATCACTCTCCAACAGCCAGGCTTACTCTTCAAGCATTTTTCTTACAGGTTATGGGGAAGGTCAAGGCCTGAGTTTAAGTTTGTGCTGGTAACACATTTCCTTCCTCCCCTGCCCCAAATGTTCTTTATTAAGTGATTGATTTTTGGCCCAGGCCCTGCTTCCACTGAAGCCAGCTGTAAAATTTCTGTCAAGACAAGTCAGGTTCTGTAGGTGTCTGTTCAGGAAAGGAATACAAAGATCCCATCTTTGAGCCACTGCAATCAACAGGAATAGCCCTTTCTTCCCTCATCCCCCATGTATCCTTTACATTGAGTTGCTTTACAAAAACTGAGTGATAACCTAAGAATTTATTCCTTATTACATCAACAGCATACTTTTGTGCAAGTAATGTGTGTGTGCTGTCATAGAGAAGTCACAGAGTATAAAGAGATTTATATTACAGGTACACAAGCAAATAAGTCTATGTACTCCTTACTTTTACAGAAGTGATGTTACTTGAGCATTTACAGAATATGCGAGGTGACAATATGTAGTTGGGGAAAGGAGGGAGGATTACCAGAATTAGACGACAGATTCATCCATGCCTTAGTACCACTGATAGCCAAAAATAAAGTCAGCCAGCCATAAAGACCAGTCATTCAGAAAGGGGAAAAAAAACTGAACAAAAAACAAAACCAGGAAAAAACACCCTAAGCTGGAAACAGTCCTTTGAGTGAATTACTTACTGATGCTCTTCCATGAACATTAAGTATAACCATATGGTTGGTAAAATTACTTCTGTGATCTAGTTTAATGAATAGAGTCAGTTTTCCTATTCAGATCTTAATGAATCAAATGATTTGCCAGGCTACTGATCGTTATTGCTGGCAGCCACCGAGCAGTCCATGGAGACTTCTCCAGGTCTCCTCCTATCCAACACTGTGGATCACATGAGAGGGAGATCAGATAGCTAAACCTAGCTAGCTTTGTAGATTTAGTTGTCTTTCTATGGCACAGAAGACAGGCTTAAGGTAAACAGAAGATGCCTCCCTGTTTTATTGTATTTTTTAATACACAAAAGCAACAGAGATGTCTAGATCAAACCTATAACTCATTTAGGGAATCAGAATTAGACACTGGAACAGGCAAGTAACGACAGGGTGTTTGCTTGACTATTTTAAGGAGAAAAAGCTGCTAAAATCTTAGAAGGATTCCTTCTTTGGGATTTGAATGCTGTTTTGCAATATGTTGCATCTTTCATCCTAAATCTATGCAATCCTGAGAGTCCCGTAAGCATTTAGAAATACCATGAAAGACAAATAACTTAAAAGCATGTACATAAAGAAATAAAGGGCCAGAACAAAAGCATATTACCTGTATCAGTTTCTTGAGTTTCCTAGCATTTAGCCAGATTTTTTGATGAAATTAACAACATACACATACTTCAGTTTTTCCATATTACTTCTAGGTAACAGAAACAGTAACATTTAAAGCCTCCTCCGTGTAAGGCATTATACAACATTGAATCCTGCAACAGCATGATATTATACTTGGCACATGTTCTCTACTTCTACAGGTGCATTAGAGTGATCAAATATTTGAAATAGACATTTCAATGCTTTGAGAGAGCAATCCTGAAGCTGGTGTCCAATGTCAATTTACACTCAGCAGAACACACAGAGATAGCCAGCTGCTGTTACAATGGCTAACGAAGTGTGACAATTTAAGCACCAGTACCCAGGACACTCAGCCCTTCCAGAGAGATTAAGCAAGCAAACCTTCATGTAATGCACATGTATTTTGCTTCTGTAATACTCTGTGGATATTACAGTTTGAGCCAAAAAATACTTGGTATAAAGGAAGGTGTGAAACTGGATTGCTGTAAGAAGAGGTGTCCAAAGCACTCACTTAGGTGTGAATGCACTTCACTGATTGCTCTACATTACAAAACACCCCAGCCAGCCTTCATAGTGTTTTTCTTAAACTACCTACAAATGTTGCAGCACACAGAATGTTAACTAATACTGCAGAGATGTGGGATTTCATGCCTAAGTCCACCAGTAATTTGCTATGTGACCTCACATTTTTGTACAATAGCTAGCAAAACAGCCCCAACTTCAGTTGCTACATCGATTACATTGCAGCTGAGATAACAGAGACTAGTCCCTCAGTGTAAATTGCATATTTACACCAGATAAAGCCAAAGCTTTGGAGAGAAATGCCTAGCTGTGATAGCCACCAGGTAACTTCCAGTTCAATTCTACAGCTGTGGGAGCGAGGGACATGAACTTACTTACTAAGTAAGCAACTCTAGCTGCTATTACATGATGCAGGAGAGATGAATTTGGGAAGACTGACCATTCCAAAAGGATAGTCAGCCTCTTCAGAAAGTCTCAAAGTGACCTCCCATTGTCACTAGAAAACGTGACCTGAATCATCCCCCGGACACATGGAAGGACGCTCGAAAACCTGAACTGAGGCCACACTGACTAGCACTAGAACCCATCTCCTACTGTGGTGCCAACATCCTTAGACAAATTCGAGATGAACTAAAACTTTTGAGGACTCAATGATCAGTACACCCTAACACGTGAGGGACTTGCAATCAGCCTAAAGGATAAGAAATCTGGCATTAGTAGTGGACTACTACAGCAACTCAGAAACTTGATAGTCCTTGATTAGACTAGCTGCCTCCATGTCCAACATTTACTGAAAACAATTGGACAACAGTGTAACAGCTGCAATTCATGTTGATCTCTTACAGCATTCTCTTTCCCCCTTAGGATCTTGGTCATCTGGTAGGTGAGGGGTATTGACAAAGAGAAAACCTCTTGTACTGCAGGAATGGATGCTTGGAGTTAAAAATGAAGCACACGAAGCCAAGGACTGCAGTCAACGGCAGTTGGTAAATCAGTATGATAGCTCCCTAGACTGAAGCAGAGACAGAAAAGCAACTGATGCAACCTGTTATATCCAGCAGCCATCCCTTGCCCTCAAGATCAGGTCAAAAGCTAGGGACAGAAGTGTCAAACCTGCCTGCCAAGTAAATCATTCACATTAATCTTAGTGAGACCGCTCTGGTACAGGCAGCCTAGTCATTCTTTTACAGAAAATAAATGGAGATATGCCCCAGTAGAGACATATACACAATAGGCAACTGCCTCCCGAATGACTATTTCTCTCTAATGCAGTTTGTACAACAGCTCTCTAAGCCTCTGTTGCCACAATCAATTTTTGCAGTGCACTCTAGTGCACTCATTCGGCAGCTAGAACTCTTGCTGAAGTTTATACAAATAGCATTACTTCAGATTTACATCAGGTTCTGGACCTCCCTGCAGAGGTTATTTTTAAATTCTAGGGGATCTGGGACCTCGTCACCTCATGAACTGCCTTTCTTCACATGACATACTCCCAGAACGGAAATCAAAAGCTAGCTGCTATTGTCATGCTTCCATACATTGTTTCTCCCCCTGCTCCTTGCTTGGTCTTCCAGACTCTTGACTTAATCTTCTGCTTGAAGATTAATACAAGGGGAAGGGAACCTGAATCTAACCTCCAGCCTGTATGGTTTAATTTCTGGTTTTCCAATAGATATCCAGTTTGCAAGATGGATACCTGTAGTCTCAGCTGATTATGAAGCATCTGACCATCACAGCTGTACTCTAAAAAAAACCCATTTACTGAAGACATCCTGCACAGTAATACTTCAGTAGAATCCCCAGCATGTAGAATACCCACCCCTGCCTCCTCCATGTTCTCAGCAATCCCACCAATTAACAAATGTGAATTGATTCTGTTAGTCTTAACCAGTTCGGGTGGACAAAAACCCATGTTATTTTCTCCACAAGTTTTAATAGAAGGACTCCCATGATGTTTTCCCAAAGTACTTCCCACTGAACCTATATGAACCATTCACATACCGTTCTAAAGTCCTCCTCAAACTTGTAAGCTCCACCTCCTGTGGCACAGAGTGTAGTGTGCAAACTGGAGAAGTTCTTTTCACTACCCATCTGTATGAACCTGTGCATGGCACAGCTGGGAAAGCGGATGAAGTGCAGGTTTCCTTTGCGTCCACACATAGTCAAATTTTTCAGTTCAAGATGGACATCGCGAATGCCAGTTTTACCATAGGCTGTATTGGAGGTCAAGTATTTCCTAATGCTTTTCAGGTTTTCCACCTCCTCCTGTTCCTCTTCTGCCGTAATGTCCTTAGGTTCAAAGTAGACCAGTTTAACCAATGTTCCACCGATATCCATTCCAAACCATGGAAACGCTAAGGACAAGGGGGTTGGGGAGGAAGAAAGAGAAAGTCACTATAAATATACAGGTTAGCCATATCACTTAAAACATTTGCTGAACGACAATTCAGTGCAGTCACAGTAGCAGCATCTGCTCCTAAAACCTGGTGGTCACATACATGTCCAATTCACATGTATTAAACTCCTCTAAGTTAAGACTTCATAAAGCCTCAGTTAAGAAAAAGAATAAAGAAAATCTCAAGATACTCTTCTCTGGAGAAGGAGGTTTTAATAAAATGAAAATATTTTTTCCCAGGAAAACATTTTACTCTTCAGTCAGCACCTCTTGACAGAGCACATTTACTGCATTTCACCCAGTCTGACTCCTGGCACCAATTCTTAAAATAGGCTAAGGAGGGGAGGAAGAACAACCAACCAAACAGAAGAACAAGATTTCTCAAGTCACGTCCCCACTGTGTAACATCTACAATTGCCTTTCCAAGACCAGTCGGAATTTCCACAGTCACAAGGCTCTGTCTGAAGAGCAGCAATACATAACTCTCCCATTATGCTGGGAGTCTCCAGACTTCAACCCACCAGAACTAGCAGCTCTGTTGGAACTACACCACCTGCATATATTAGCAGAAAGAGAATAAGCCGTTATAAGTTCAGTATTTACCACTGACAGTCCTTTCCTTTGAGTATAGACTCTCTTTGCTGGTATATGTGTTATCCTATCATACAACTATACAAGAAATGCCACTATTTGCTTCTCAGCATATATATGTTTGCCACAGCCGGCCTAGGTCTACCAAAGCCTTTGTTCTGTTAATAGCAAGAAAAAATTACTATGGAGAACATGCAGACAGAAGATACTAACTAAAACAGGTTGGTCTGCCTGCTCTGCTTATATATACATGCATAAATTTTAAATAGTAAGCCAGGTAACTTTATGAGGCAATAAGAAGCGAGAATACAAAATCTATACACAGGTACTGCAGAAGGAGGCAGCTAGTAATGTTTCTTAGAGAAATTAAATCAAAAGTACTGAGTATGTGGCTAACATCTAAGATACATTTCTAAAATAGCGGTCACACAGTCACCTCCCTGCTTTTAAGGAGAATCAGGCAGACTTGCTAGAAATGTGATTCTACCAATTAGGGCATCCCAACTTAGTACTGATACGAACTCCAAACCATGGACACCATATGCACTACTGATTTTTCTGCCACTGAACCTAAATGTAAACAACTTGGGGCAAAAATTTTAGTAAGCATAGGAGGTACTGATCACACTGTTCTTCCTCATGTAATCACAGATCAGTATGAAGTTAGTCAACTTCAGGCTGAAAGGAGCTTAGAGTCTTTTACTTCTTACCACAAGGGTCTCAGCATCACTCTTGTCTGGCTGAATAATTCTAAAGTCTAAATTTCACAATTGTTAATACACACTCCCCTCCCCCCAAACCAATCCTTAAATGTCAGATGTTTAAAACGGTCATTTTGCTCCATTGCTGTATGCCAAATAATTGAATCATCAGTTTCTCCCCCCTTTCCCTAAGGACAAGGGAGGCATAACGCATAAACTCCCATGAAGTAGCTTGCTTGAAGTTCAGTTTTTCTAAGAGCACCCACTGTTATCTGTTGTAAAGTCTAATTTCTTTTTCCATGCCCTACAAGCTGCAAGACACAAAGATACTGAAATGAAGTCTAATTTGAGGTTTGGGAAGATCCATCCTATGCAGATGCATGAGAGCTCCCTGACACGGGAAGAATTCGAAACAAGCATTTTAAGATAGGCTTTTTTTTAAAGAGGAAAAATATGTTGCCATACACTAACCAGTAACTCAAACACTTTTGCTTAAATATTTTCCTTGTACTTCTAAAAGTGGTCTGGTCCACGCTGTACAATACTACAATGCAGTGGAGCTCAGAATGCCAAACCCGTTAGTAATTTACACAAATCTTTATTTAAGCTACTGAGAACTTTAATTACCTGTCCCACTGGAACAGTAAGTCTCCTCCTTGCATGTATCTTAATTATGCAAGCAGAAAGTTTAATTTTAAAAACATCATGGTTGGACTGTGCAATACAGAACTAGCCTGTAGCTAAGTGTAAGCCAACTTCCAATACTCTATATTAAGGGCATAAAATCTGCTACAATCTACCTGCACCAACAGTTGCTTTCAAGTCTGTATATCCCAAGTTCTTGGGATAGGTACACGTAATGCTCACATTTGAAAAGCACGCAGAAATACCAAGACACTTTTTTTTTTTTAGTTTATTCTCTCTGTGAATCTAAGCTCCTTTCATTTTGTTGTGAGCCAAACGGAGAGCGCAGAAAGAAAAGAACTTTGCTCTTAGAACAGCAGCAGTTTTCTTCAGCACAAATAAAGAGCACAAGATCAGTCCACAACAACCTGTATGTAAGTTACGCAGAACAGCAGCTTAGTTTTCTTCACAGCTAACACCAGCTATCTGTTGAAATCACTTGCAATAAAGACAACCATTTTGACTGGTTGACCACTTAGGACAAAAAACAAGTCCCAAAGTGCCTGACAAGTCCCACTGAAATTCATAACTTCTGTACAACTGGAGTGACAGTAAAAACACCTCTGTATTCCAGTGATTATTTAATTTATTCATCGTATCTTTTGTTACTATCAATATGTTCCAAAACAAAATGCACCACTGAAGTACCATCAGTTCTTTTCAGTATCTTTAGATAAGCCACCTTAGCTGGTATCTATACACTTCAACCTTTCCTGACACCACTGAATGCAGTGCTAACGGCAGCATACCTCCAGACTGCAAGGTGCTCCCGGGTTTTGCTGCCTCCCTGAACACAGGGAGTTAGACCATTCAGAGGCCACCAAAATTATTAGGGCTTTCACTGCTACAAGCAGGGGGTATGAAGAAAGGTGTTTGTGCAGATACAGTCTCCACAGACTTGAGGGAAAAGGGGGAGAAAATTGTGGTGGTTTTTTTTGTTTTGGGTTGTTTGGTTTTTTGTTTGTTTGTTTTAAACTGGAAGCCCAGCATTTCATTGATAACCCGAGTAAATGTCCAGTTTCTTGAGTTATTAAAAGCCAGGAAAGCAAGGAGAAGAAAGTGAAATCCATCACATCCACATCTTAGGCTGGTAACAGTTATGCAAAACTGTGTGATTTACTATGAAAAATGAAGAGACTGGATATGTTGCAGAAATGCTTTCACAGCGTAAAAAATGCAGTTCTTAACTAAAATTGTCTGATAAGACTGTTATGAGCTTATTTCTCTCTTCTCAGCCAAGTCAGTATGCAATATACCTATTGGGTCAATGCAATCTATTACTGTGGAGAAAATAAAACTATTCTACTGTATTGCTACACTGCAGTAAGTAATAAAAAATAACAACACTAAAATCTAGTTCTAGTCCCATAGAACTGATACAGAAAGCATCAAGATGAATCATGCATTCTTAAAAGCCTAGCATAAATCAAAAGACTCCACTTATCTTTGTAAGAAAATTAATTCTCTTTACGTTAACCTGCACCAACTACTTAGTGGTTTGTTATCTTGAGATAAAAATCTCCATTACTCCAAAATTTAGCTGCAGAAGCATGTGACAATGCAAACAGGAGGCATCTACAGCATTGCATAATTAGGTAATCTGATGCACACCAACAGCTGTGCTATCTGGGGGAAAGGTTCACTCATGAGAAATTCCATGATACATTTTTACCTAGTTTCTGCACAAACTTTGAAGAGTATGAACCTATAAGGCCATTCCTATAAGGCATATTACATTCAGAATTGAACACATTTGATTTTTAAAAATCCTATGCTTAACATACAATATAAGGAGGGGGTGTGGAGAGCAAATATAAAATCACAACATGGACAAGATCAGGGGAAGCAAGAATGAACGGGAACTCCTAGGTCACTAAGTAACATTTCCCCCCATTAAAGAGGATAACCAAGGTAATCCTTTTCATATGTTTAAACAACCACCGCATAAGGTTGTTAGCCAAATCTTTTTACTCCTCAACTCTTCAAAAGGGATTGTGTCTGAATCCTGCTGGTTAGAACCTTCTTCTCTCTACCTGGACACTAGATTTATCCACAACCAACTTGCAGCAGTTTCTTCTTTTGCCAAAACTGTTACAGCTTATGCATCTCTCTTACAAGACCTGTATTTCCTAGAACACAGGTACAGTATCTCAATTTTTTATCAATAATTTGAATGGTGGTATCAATACTCTGATATCTTAGTCATAAATATCTCAGATAAAATATCTTAGGTTCAGCTGCTTTTCTTCCTGGACACACATATGATGAAATCCCATTACTTCATTTACATGTTTCATTTGCATTTAATTTGCATTGCTTGATGCTTTGATGATCTAAGAACTTCCTGTTTTAATTGAGACTGGAAGAGGGAAGAGAGCCAAAAATAAGAACAGGAAAAAAAAAAATCAAAACAAGAGTCACACATAAGATGTGATAGTATTCTCACAGCTTTTGAAAGCCGCTTTCTATTTAAAAAGAAGCTGATAATAGCTTACATATATTTTTCAATTACTTCTCCCTATTTTGCACAAGTTATTTTGAGCAATCCAAACATGTTGTAAAATGGAAGCATTCATTTTCCTTTGAACAAAAACAGAATATATAGCTTAAAAAATTAATTATATCTGCTTAGTAATAGAAGTTTCTTCAAACCTTACAAAGCTAGAGCTAAACCATGCACATATATCAGGCGAAGCCTTCCAGTTCATTTTCAGCGGCAAGGGCTTATTGAATACCTACCTCCTCACCAGAAAATGACAAAACACAAAACAAGCAAGCAAAACCACACCCCAACTAAAAAACTTCAAACCCAAAAGCACAGAGCTGTTTGTTAAACAGTTGTGACTACTCACACATATGTAGTCATATTACCACAAACTGATTTCTGAAGATAGCACTGGGAGACTAGGTCATTACCTAGCCTGTATAGCTTCATTAAAAACACTAACAAATAAAAGCCAAACTTACAAAGCTACAA